GAAAAATATGTAAAACGATGGCATTTTAAGTTTTGTTATGGAGAGCAACAGGATATGCTGTATCTCCTGGGATAGGCGGCTAATTCCTGATAAGGGACCTACTTGCGTTGTTTAAGTTTATAAAGAGTTAAACGCACTAACTAATTATTAAAACAAGTTATAATTTATTATACGAGGTGTGTTCAGAAAATATCGGAAATTTTAGTTTTTTGAAACAAATATTTATTTATTCGTTTACATTAATGTTGACGCCTTCAAAATAGTCCCCATTGGATATTATGCACATGTGCCAGCTCTTCTTCCAATACTCGAAACACTTCTAAAACTCGATCTTTGGGATAGCCTTTAGTTCTTTCAGCGATGCGTTTTTAATGTCATCTATGCTTGCAAAACGACGGCCCTTTAAGGTTCTCTTTATTTTTGGGAATAGGAAAAAGTCAGACAGAGGCATGTCTGGCGAATATGGAGGCTGGGACATCATTACAGTATTGTTTTTGGCCAAAAATTTTGTTCAAAATTTAACAATTTTAGAACAAATTTTGCTGCCACGCGTTTCATACCCAAAACATTCGAAATTTTTTTATGGGATGAGCCAATCGATATACCAACATCATCAGCGACTTCTCTGATGGTTTATAACCATTTCTTCCACTTTTTCCATGTTTTTATCGGTTGTTAATGTGCTTGTGCGTTCGGGGCGTTGGTCATCTTCAACGTCTTCACGGCCATCTTGGAAACTCTTATACCACTTGTAAAATCTTGTTTTACTTATAGCAGACTCACTATAGGCCTTTGTTAAAATTTCAAAGAATTTATTTCATTTTTTAAGCAAAATTGGATACATATTCTCTTTGATCCATTTCTTTTAACGAACGAAAATCGCCGAGCTCATAAAACACGTCTAACCTTAGCGGCTGCCACAGACAAAGTAAAGAATGAAAACAGCTAAAGTTTTTATCATACTTCGGGGGCATGTATACCAATATAATAAATAAAATTTTATGACAACCGGACCCTCCGAAGCCGCGAAATTTAACAATTCCCGTTATTTTTTGAACACACTTCGTACTTGCGTTTTTTTAAGTTTATAAAGAGTTAAACGCACTAATTAATTATTAAAACAAGTTATAATTTATTATAATTATAAAAAAATTAAATTAAATTTTAGTAAGTTGAGCAACATAAAAACTTGCTATACATGAAAAAAATCTTTTGAAATTAGCTTACATATTAAATAATGTAGGTATTATAACATGTGAGCCGGAGTATAAGATTAATATTAATATTTACTTTGTACATTCTAGTATAATCCTATGAAGCGAGCTTAGTAAAATTACGCATTAGATAAATCCCAAACTTGTAAAACAAAAAAACACCCACGTAAATAATCAAGGGGATAATTATCCCTATTATAATAGGAATTAACATTAAACAAATGTATGGAGGATGCTAAAAATATAAATCCCTTTCCAGGGAAAAAGAAACTAACCATTTTTTTTTTCACCAAAATTTAGGGGGTTCCTTGTTTTGTTTTATTTTTAAGGAATATTTTCGTGTTTACCGTTTTTTTTGTAAAGTTCCTGATTTTAAAATTCTCTAATTCTCCAACTGTATGGACATTTTATATCTTCACACTTGTTTTTAGACAAAACCTTTTTTTAGTCAATTTTTTTTATTTATATTTTTACTAAACGTCAAAAATAAACATTTCAAAAAATTTAAATAGGTAGTTAAACTACGCAAATTTGTTGTACATTTATTATGAGTAATGTTTCTAATTTTATATAATATAATTAATACATTTTTTAATAAAAATAAAAGTTTTCCTAACTTTCGTATTGCATATTTTTTTACCTATTTTTAGTTTTGTAACAAATATAGGTATGTATACACTGAGAGAATTAGGTTATTTGCTCTGTTATTTGGTAATTTCAAACAAATAGGTACAATTAATTAATTCCAAATTTAATTATTTGAAAAACATCGAATTTGAATAATTTTTTTTTTTAAAATTACCAAATTTTTTTTTCAGTAGCAATTTGTTTTAGTCAGAGACCAGTCTCTGGTTCCAGCCTATAGGCGGCAAATTTGTAAATCTGACTGTACAAATTTGTAAATCTGACTGTACATTGTACAGTGTACAAATGTCAAAAATGGCGAATGCGCAGGGATTTATGTATAGTTAAGGAAAATAGTAATGACCTATTAAATGCTCCATTATAATTGTTCGGAGATATTTGGGTTTTGGTAATAAAATTAACATATTTATTTTTAAACTCAACAATTCTACCTACCTGCTATTTATCATTCTTTCTACGCACATTTCATTATGCAATAATCTAAACCATTTAAATATTTACGGAATAAAATTGATTTTGAAATAGTTTAAATATAATATATGTTCTATATTTTATTTTTTCTACTCCCACCTTTAAAACGCCCTTTATGCACATAAATATGTTTTAAAAAACATGTATCTTGTCATGTTTTAAAATGCATTTAACGTGCCCCTGAGAAATATTTTTAATAGAAATAAGAGAGGAGGGAAATGAATCCCGAGTCCCAAAAGAACCGATTTGATTTTCTCAGCGTGGCTTTTGCGTCATACGTTTTGTGACGTTCACCGTCTACGTTGATCAAGACTGCTATTATGTAAACAACTGAACGAGATAGACGCAAAACAAAAACATTGGCGTCTCGTGGATTTTTAATTTACACTGAAAAAAATAAGGTGTTGAAACAACAAAAAAAATATTAATTCAACTCTTTATGCACTTTAAATACAAGCAATGGTTTTTGCACGTTTACTTAACCATCTAAAAATGTCAAATTGTATTGTTTAATTGAACAACAAATATTAGTCAAATGAACAAAATGAAAATATTTGTTCTAATCTGCTAATCTGGTTAATTAAACATTCTTGATATGTCGGAGTAATATTTCGAAAATGGTTGAGCTAACATTTTTAAGATGTTAAGGTACATTTCTTGAAATGTCAAGGTAACCTTTTTAGCATATTCACTTAACACCAATAAAATGTTAAATTAAAATAATTTGCGCTAATGTTGGGTTAATTAAATTATGGAATTAATATAAAGAGAAAGAATTGAACCTTCCTCGCCAGAGTTTTTGTTTTGAGTGCGTTCCACCTACTTCAAATACCTACCGACAGACAGCTGTTTCGACCTATATTGGGGGTCTTATCAGTTTCGGGCAATTTGGTGTAGTTTAAGTTCCACTGTGGAACACACCAAAATAAACGGCTACCTGAGCTTATATACTCCTATCGTAAGCCAACTGAGGCGAGATGTAAGAACATCACGTGATCAACACCGTCTAATGACGTGGGTGTTCGAAGCGCCCTTCACGGCAATTTTATGAATGCAAAATTAACAAATTTTAAAGCAACATTTACAATTTGTTAAATGAACAAATTTAATGTTTTGGATTTAAAGAGCAACTAAACGTTAATTTAATAGTTTTTTTAGGTAATCCTAAAAATTTCAGTATTTGATTCAACCAATTCCAGCTATTAAATCAAAATAGGATAAACATTTTAATTCAAAAAATTAGTTTATGTTAAATCAATATTTTAACTGTCAAATGAACAAATAAACTTTGACAAACTCTGACTCATGCTTTGACATCAAAATATAGATTAATCCAATAGGTTTTTTCAAAAATGACATTTAGGCAAACGTTAACTCAACTACATTATTTTTTACGGTGTACTATGCTCCACACCTCAAAGTCCCACCACGTGACCACGTACGGAACGCAGTCTTTTGAAAATTTGGCATTTAAGGCTTTTCAGGTTATGTATCTGTCCAAGTATAGTCAATGAAAGAAATAATATTTATAGTGTTACCGCTTATGTTTAAGCGTTAAAAGTTAAAAAATCTTTATAGTATCACAATAACAATGGTTGGTTTAAGAATTTAGGAATATAAATACTGCATTTAATGAAATTCCAAAGTGTAAGGTGCAATATAAGTGATATTTTTGAGCATTGGTTCTATTCTCCATAAAATAGTTTTAACTAAACTGCATTTATTTAAAAAAATCTTCTTTATTATGAAATAAGAATATCTGTATCATCTAATTTTGTATTTTAAGGTTTGAAAAATCTATTTTGACCAAAATAAATAAGTGTATTATTTGGAAGAGTGTGTTAATATGGCCATAAATAAATATAGGTATACTAAATAATTGTTGAATATGGTTCAAATTAAATTCAAGCTTTTATACTTCTAATGACAAAACTTGTGCATACCTCTCGGCATACCTACTTTTAGTTAGATTATAAGAAAACAAACAATTTTTAGAGAAACTTGCAATGTGAAAATATTTAATACTCCCATGACATGTAATTTATTAAATATTTTAAAGTTATAATGATTTTTCGATGTAGATCAAGTTCAGTCGAAGCTTTTTAACTATTTGTATTGACAAAACTTTATGTAGGTACACTTTAGGCTGGATAAGAAGAACTACCACATTTTTAAATACCATATTATACAGTCTTTTAAATAATCCAAAATACTTATTTATTTAGGTCAAAATAAATTTTTCTAATCTTAAAATTACAAAATTAGATGAGATTTTTGTTATGATATATTAACCTACCTTTAAAACAGATATTCTTATTCCATAATAGAGAAGCTAGATTTTTTTAAATAAATGCTGTTTAGTTAAAATTATTGTATGGAGAAAACCAGATAATTGGACCAAATGCACAAAAATATTACTTATTTGGCACCATACACTTTAGAATTTCATTAAATGCAGTATTTATATTCTTAAATTCTTAAACCATCCATTGTTATTGTAATGTTATAAAGATTTATACATTTTTAACGCCTAAACATAATATTATTTCTTTCGTTGACTATACTTTGACAGATACATAACCTGAAAAGCCTTAAATGCCAAATTTTCAAAAGACTGCGTTCCGTACGTGGTCACGAGGTGTGGAGCATAGTACTTATTAATTTTCTTACCATGAGTGTTGTTGGTAGCGTCAGTTTTGGGGCCAGTTTCGCCCGGCTGTATCTTATCAGGGGAGGTGATGTAAAACCCGTGGGCGATGTCTTTTCTCCACGTCCAAGTGCACTCGGTCTCGAAGTCGCAATCGACGCCAGTTTGCACTGGGTCTCTGAGTCTTTCGCGCAGCAGTTGCTGCTGCTTCAAAATGTAGATCTTGTCCTGCTTCTTGTTGTACTTTTGTTCGGTGTCGATTCCTTCGAAGTCTCTGAGTCTTGCAAGCCCCCCTAAAAAAAAAAATAATAATAATAATAATAATAATAATAATGTTTATTATTCCTTTTTTGACAATATAAAGGTATAGGATATTAAGTACAATCATTATTATGCACAGAATTGTGAACTAACAATATTCAAGATAGGAATACAAACTACCCACACACACACAGAAAAAACGCTTTGATATAGTCAAAAACAACGCTATAATCGATTGTTTTTTCATTTCTCCAATAAAAGTTATTCAATCAAATATCGATGGTTATTTGACAAAACATCGTAAGCGACAATTTTGTTGAATTACTTTTTATTTTATCAAAGTGTCAGTTACGATAAGCTGCACATCTTAACATAATTGTTATTCCAATTTTGGAATCTAATATTGGTCAGTTTGAATATTTTTATTATTGTAAGCTCCTCTTATTTTAAATTTGTTACCGATTAATAACGTAAGCCCCTATATGTTCCCGACAAATAATCGTAAGCAACTCCGAGACATAGCGTTTGCGATTTAACATTGTGTCGCTTACGATAATATTGTGCTCCCTCCTTGATCTATCAAGGCGTTATTCCCGCTCTAAACAGTTTATTCGTGAGTATACCTGCATCGTGGTGATTGCTACCAAGTTTTAAAGCAATATTTTATTTGATCAAAACTTTAAAATTCCTTTTTTCATTGCATTATTAATAGTTATCCTAATTATAATTGTTTTTACGTAGTGTGGTTCGTTAAAAGTGTTTTTTGTAGTAATTGTATGTTGTTATAACGTCAAATAATTTAACTCAAATTTATAACGGTTAGATCATGGTACCATGGGTTAGATCATGGAGCCTACACAAGGAGTCCGAACAATATGTAAACAAGAATCTTCCTAAGATAAGAGGGCGCTGGTGTTCCGTTTATTCTGAAACAATTGTATAATTTGTACCAAAACCATCGACAATCAGCGCCACTGGTGGTGAAAAAAATAAACCTAATTTATACAATTTAGATGGCAGGTTTTGTCAATAGTTCGTTTTTTTTCAAAGAAAGCTAATGTAGAATTTCATTTTCAAACATTGTTTGGCAAAATATCGTTGGTGATATTTTATAAATTAATTTTTTTGTAATTTTTTTTAATTTAATAATATAAGTAAAAAAATAAATGTCGCTAACGATTTTTTGACAAAAGTAATATAAAATCTATATCCCACAAAGCAACGTAAATGTAACTTAAGCGACAACACTAATTTTACATTTTCCTAAAGATGTTCTTATAAAATATCGTATGCCACAAAATTTAATGAACATTTTAGATTGGATTCGATTTTACTTAAAATTTTGAATTCTACATTAATAAAATAATGCCTCACCAGTTTTCAGATAAATAACTTTAAAAATAAAGCTCTCACACAAAAAAAATCTCTCCTGTAAAATTAAGGTTTTGTCGCTTACGATGTTTTGTCAAATAACCATCGATATGTTTGGAGCAATTGCAGGTAAGGGATTGATGTTATTACAAATATTATATTCAGCCCATAATAAAATGTTAAATTACTTGTTATAGTGTAAATGGCTCTTTATATTTAAACCTAATGGAAATGTGTATTTCCTTAAAAATGTTCGAAATGATTGTATTAAAAGGTTATCTGATCAAAGTAAAATTAACAATATTTAATTAAATATAAAATTAATTTATATTAAAAGTTATAATGCTTCAACCAAAAATTAAAAACAAATGAAATAAGAATAGTCTTTGTTTCCCAATTATCATTCCCATTTTTTCATAGTTAAATGTGATCAACTGATTAATCGGTATTTCTGGTGACGCCGATTGATGTAAGTGTATGGGTTATCTTTTGTGTAGGTAGTGTTTGGTTGTTTGTTACATTTGCTAATTTCTTGGGGGTTGTACTTCCTAATCCCGATTTTTCAAGGTAAGTTGTACATGTTTTTTAATTGTATGTCCGCCATGCATTGTCCAGTAATTTAATTACTCAATTATATCTAAACTGCGCACCACTCAATGTGTCGCGACCAAAAAGTTCGTTCTTTTTCAAAACGACATAACTTTTTTGTTTCTTGAACGATTTAATTTTGGTTTGTGATGTCTGCTAGCCTCATCCTCTGGCAATTTATGCTATAGATATGAAGCTCACGGTTGGTCAAGTAAACTTCCTACAGGGTGATATGTTAAACTGTGAAAAATTTCAATAACTTTTAAGCCCCGTTTGTAAAAAAATAATTTTTTTTTCGTTTTTACTTTGAAATAATGAAGTATTATGTGTTACCTTGAAACGTTTTTCAAATTTTTCGAATTGGAATCTTAGCAACGAAAATATGATTTTTTCCCAAAAGAGTACATTTAAGGCTTTTTTTAGGCAATACACTCAGTCTTTTTAGGAACAAGAAGATAAGATGGTGAAAGATTGTTCCTTAAATAATTCTGAACAAGCGACAAGCAACAAACTTCCATTATTTTCAGAGTACCTATGCTAAGACCACTTTTTGAAAATGACATTTTTGTGAAAGTTTGCAAAAACTAAACCTAAACCGATAATTACTTTCCTAAAATGTTTTCTTCATAATTTTGACCTCCTGATTGTGATTTAGTTGACAAATTTAAGTTTCAGATAAAAACAAAATCACTACGAATCAAGATTCGAAAACAATTCCCGGCTGTTAAATGTGTCAATAAAATCCGATTGCTGGTTTTTACTGTTTTTTTACATATCGTAAATGAGTATTTAAGGGAACACCATATTGAGAAAATGAATTGGCCACCTTTGTCTCCGGATATGAATCCTATTGAGCATGTGTGGAGCAGGATAAAATTGAAGATCAAAGAGAGGGAAGGAGGCATGGAAAATTTGGATGAATTGGTAAATGCTATAAAGGAAGAATGGGGTATCCCAGAAATTTCTAAGGAACTTGGTCGAGGGAATGCCCAGGAGGGTTAACGAATTATTACGGCTTAGGGGAGGGCCAACGAAATATTGAAAGGTATTATTGTTATTGTTTGTTACATTTTTCTGTTGAATGTTGAAGTTTTGATTATGATTATATCTACGCATACAATTTTCAAAAATGAACAAAAATATTTTTATTTAACTTTATTATAAATTAGTTATGTAACATTATCCTAACTACTCAAACAAATTGCAGCAATTTCGCCCAAAAAATGAATCCCCAAATGGCATTTTCATCATAAATATGCAAGAAACACGACAGCAATCGGATTTTATTAAGACATTCAACAACAGGGAATTGTTTTCGAATTTTGATTCTTGATGATTTTGGTTTTATCTGAAACTTAAATTTGACAACTGAATCACAATCAGGAAGTCAAAAATATAAAGAAAACATGTCACGAACGTAAATATCGGTTCAGGTTTAGTTTTCGCAAATTTTCACCAAAATGTCATTTTGAAAAAGTGGTCTTTGCTTAGGCCCCTCTGAAAATAATGGAAGTTTGTTACTTGTCGCTTGTTCCGAATTGTTCAAGGAACAATCTTTTACCATCTTATTTTCTTGTTCTTAAAAAGACTGAATATATTGCGTACCAAAGAGCCTTAAATGTACTCTTTTGGAAAAAAAATCATATTTTCGTTGCTAAGATTCCAATTCGAAAAATTTGAAAAACGTTTTAAGGTAACACATAATACTTCATTATTTCAAAGTAAAAACGAAAAAAAAATTATTGTTTTACAAACGGGGCTTGGATGAAGTTATTGAAATTTTTCACCGTTTTACATATCACCCTGTAGGAAATTTACTTGAAGAACCGTATGCTTAATATCTACAGCATGAATTGCCAGAGGATGAGGTTAGCAGACATCACAGACCAAAATAAAATCGTTCAAGAAACAAAAAAGTTATGTCGTTTTGAAAAAGGACGAACTTTTTGGTCGCGACACATTGAGTGGTGCGCAGTTTAAATGATAACAAAACTCATATAGGTATATACCATGGACACAGTTTATCTTGATATTCGGTGTCATGTCTTAAAATGGCAATTTTGCTTGAATATGCGAAGTTTTTATTTATTTATAAAAAAATTCTCATAGTGTTTCAGTACCATCATGATACCCTTGAAGGGCGTCCAGAAAGTATATATTGCTTTAGGACTTTCGGAAATCTTTAGGATTCGCCTCTAAATACATAAGATAAAATTCCTATTTCGTTTTAGAACAACCATGTGCCATGGCAGACAGATCCTGCACATCCAGTACAGTAACTGTTGCTAGTGATGGGTCAGCAACTTTCTTAGAGCCTAATATCACCAACACTTCTAGTGGGTTCCCAATAGTTCCTACAGAAAACAGAACAATTTCATTTTATGGATAGAAACCTGTGTACACAAGACTACCAGAAGCAGTTTCCAGAATTCATTTTATTTAAAGTTCATATTAATGTATTATACAGCTAATATTTGCACAAGAATATACATATTTACCAAGTTATAGAAACTGGAGTCTTTCTAATACTGTTCTAGTCAATATTTCTGAGAGCATAAAAAGATGGTGTAATTCAATATTGCAAGAAGTTTTGATCTTTTGATGGATGCAAGTATTTTGAATATTCTCATTTCTGCATTTAATTTTGTTAAAAACAGTTCCTTTCTTTGGTTCCTTTGTCTGATTTTTGTTTACAGTAACAACTCAGGTATGTAAAGCACAAATTTGTTCATGATTTTACAATTTTTCGAGGGGTACACAGATAAAAAAATTAAAAATAGCATACGAATCAAAGGAAAAAAATCATAGGGGTAGCAACGCGTCGCTAAGAAAATTTCTTATTAATAAGGGTGAAATCCTTATCGATAGGCGTCGAATTATTAAAGGCAAGGCAAAGTTACAAAAAGTGCAAATTTGAAGAAATTTTATCCCGGCGCATTCGCCATTTTTTACTATTTTAAATTTTGGAAACAAAAATGCCACACAAGTTTAATAAACGACGTTTTAGTCAGGTATTTAATTTAGGCACGAGTGAGCTTGCGAGCGGGTGCTTAATTAAATGAGTGTCTAGAAA